ACACGCATACTTCATTCGCATACGTCATTCGCATACGTCATTCGCATACGTCATTCGCATACGTCATTCGCATACGTCATTCGCATACGTCATTCGCATACGTCATTCGCATACTTCATACGCATACTTCACACGCATACTTCACACGCATACTTCACACGCATACTTTGCACGCATACTTTGCACGCATACTTTGCACGCATACTTTGCACGCATACTTTGCACGCATAATTTGCACGCATACTTCACACGCATACTTCACACGCATACTTCACACGCATACTACACACGCATACTACACACGCTTACTTCACACGAATACTTCACACGAATACTTCATACGCATACTACATACGCATACTTTATCCGCATACTTCATTCGCATGCTTCATGCGCATACTTTAACACAGACTTCATTTACATGCATCGCTTAGAAATACATTTATAGCAAATTAACCAGACGTTACTCGGCTAGTTATGAGTTACAAGTATCAAGTTTGAGCGATGCTGATGTTGTAAGCAGGTAGCAAGCTTGAACTATGTTGCTAAGAAGATTGTGTGTTATTAGTAGCAAGTTAATCTGGCCTAACATGTTTACCCAGTAAGTTGACCCAGTGATCTGCAGGATGCATAATATCATTAATATGTCATATGCGCATCATCGGAGATGCAGGTTGATTATTAATGTATATGACGAGTCTAGCAGGTACCATTAGGTTAAGCGTGAATTTATGAAAAAAATTAAAATACAAATTGATATCGGATAAATAGTTATCACTTATTAAAGCGTTTAATTTCTGATTTCTTGCTCAAAATTTCAGGTTCTGAAAACGCTTCCTGATAAACTCAAGGCTGAGATCGCCATCCACGTTCACTTGGATACGCTCAAGCAAGTGAGAATTTTCCAAGATTGTGAACCGGGGCTCCTGGTCGAACTTGTGCTCAAACTTACGCTTCAGGTTAGTCGNGACCCAGGCCAGCCTAGGGTGCTCACGCCTCCACGAGGAACTTCAAGCCTTTAGTTAACTCGTCATTAGGCGCTCCAATAGGGTACGACGGTAGGCGCCCAACGCGGCTCGGCTATGCAGAGCACACGGGAAACCAAAGGGCAGACTGGTCAAGTCGGCTCCCACGTCAGGTAAACACTGGAGGCAGTCAGCTTCTTCCAACGGTGCACGTCCACGGTACACACCCTTGAACAATAGCCTGAGAGAACACGGTCGGATCTCAGAAGCTGACGCCACACCAGAAAAGGGTCCCTCCCACCTCATCCACGGAAGCCAACGTACCAAATGGCCAGCCTAAAAGCGCTCAGCCCGCTCGTGACCTCGCGGCAGATTCGTCCAGAGAACACCTGCGTGTCAAACCTCTACAATATACCTGGCCGAGTCTTCGGTATCGTGGCTACGGTCGCTCCTCAAATTTCCAAGCGCATTATTTTTCACGGCTAATTCTGATACAAACCAAGCAAAAATATTTTGGTAGCATCGAATTAAAAGTTAATTTAGCGTTTTTAAATCAATTTTCGCAGCTTTTCGATAGAACAAATTAAGCCTCAAACAATGCCTTCCTGCCGTAATAATTTAGCAAAATGTCAAATTTTCAACATTTGAAAACCAATCCAAACGTTACAGCATCCTTAATTAATGTAAATATGCACAGAGCAGCAGAAGTCATTCCAATCTTCAGCTTTAGCCAGGCTCGCCATGCATACAATTTAGAGCGAAGATCACTGGTTTATTCATCAGCAATTTATGTACGCTGTAACCCTACACCACATACATTTTTCGGCCACTGCATATTTCGTGCTTCAGTGATGAATAATCCATACATTAGTCAATAGCTGAATAATTTATATATTACAAGAAGAATAATGTGGAGGTTAATGGTTAAATTATCCAGAGGTGTTACCCTGGCAGGTGTTCAGCCCCGGCGACTTCGTGTGTCGCAAGGGTGACGTGGGCAAGGAGATGTACATCGTCAAGCGCGGCAGCCTCTCCGTGGTCGCTGATGACGGCAAAAAAGTCTTCGCAACCCTTGGCGCCGGCAGCGTCTTTGGCGAGGTCAGTGATCTTGACATGAATTTTCATGTGGAATTTGAATATAAATTCCATGATTCTCGAGTGACGTGAACATTAAACAGAAGGCAAATATTTTCAAATACTAGAGAACGACTCAAAAATCAGACTCTAGTTTGTTGCCAACGACAGCGCCCATTTTTATGCTCAGGTGTCTATTATGATTATGACCATCACGAAATACGTAAAATGAAACAAAATATTTATTATTAAACAATAGAGAAATTATTTCAAATGTAAAAAGTAAGATTCACAAATCAGACTCTAGTTCGTCGCCATGACATGCCCGCTTCATGTTCAGGTTTCCATCCTAAACATCGCTGGCAACAAGACAGGCAACAGACGCACGGCAAACGTGCGCTCTGTAGGATACTCGGACCTCTTCTGCCTGTCCAAGGATGATCTGTGGGATGCGCTTACCGAGGTCAGCTCAGTTAGCTTCAATTTATATGTTTAGTTACTTCTTGGTGCAATAATTTTTTTAAGCTCCGAAGATGATTTTAGTTTCGATTAATACGAAGTTGTATTAGGTTTATCTTGTGCTCCAAGCACAAGATAGCGTATCCAAGGACGACCTCTTGGATACGCTCATGCACCTAACTCAGCTCATTTTTCCTCTCCATGTCATTTTTTGTGCTTGAATTTCGCAATCTACGAAGGTTTTTTATTTTAAATCGGCATAAAATCGAATTTACTTTATCACGAAAAACAGTATTCGATTCATTTATCGTAATAATATCCTTTAATCCTTCTCCAATTTTTTTATTATATGTGATGCGATACAATTGTCCCGCACGGCATTAAGTATTGACTACCTACCTCAATTTGGAGCAAAATTTTTCAATTCAATTTGCAAAGATGTACTCCTGCTGTGTCACTCGTAAGTCATTCCTCGTTTAGATCTTTGCGTTGTTCATCACGACGATCGAGTCATTTTTTTTTATTAAATTAATAATAATATTCCCTGTCTCTTATACACATCTAGATGTGTANGGGTGGTGGGTTGTGGTGTGGTGGGTTGTGGTGTGGTGGGTTGTGGTGTGGTGGGTTGTGGTGTGGTGGGTTGTGGTGTGGTGGTGTCTTAATTTGTCCCTATGTATTGACCAAAGTAAGTAGATGCATTAACAATATTGACTACACCGATTTGGCCGATTACACTAAACAATTGAGAGAGTTTATTCAAATAGCAATGCACTTCTTGCCCTTGTGTGTATCATTCTGACAAACTTTTGCCCGTCAAAAGGACCTATCAGTGCTCCATTCGTAAAATTTGTCCACAGTTTGGACCACATGACTTATTAATTTTTCTGAGTGTTCGTCTGACAACGATTTGGCCGTCACAGAGAGCACGCTGGACGCGTTGAGCACGCGTCTGGCACGTCTGCTGGCAGAATATTCGTCCATGTGCCAGCGCACCAAACAGCGCCTCACACGCCTCGAACAGCGCTATAGCGCCGGACACAACTCTGCCAGGTCAGTGGCTGGACTATAGGCGCACCACGCAGCGCTATAGCGCCGGGCACAACTCTGCCAGGTCAGTGGCTGGACTATAGGCGCACTACGCAGCGCTATAGCGCCGGGCACAACTCTGCCAGGTCAGTGGCTGGACTATAGGCGCACTACGCAGCGCTATAGCGCCGGGCACAACTCTGCCAGGTCAGTGGCTGGACTATAGGCGCACTACGCAGCGCTATAGCGCCGGGCACAACTCTGCCAGGTCAGTGACTCGGCTTCTCGACTGACGATTGTCAAGGTAATCGGTGATAATTTAATACTGCCTATAAGTTGATCGGTGACTAATTAATAAAATCAGTTTATGTATAAAAATTAAAATTGTAAAATGACCGTAAAAAATTAATTGATAAAATGTTTAATGCTAATTATTTTTACGGTACTAGTATAGGATACTAGTTCTTTATTACACAGTATTTTCAAGTCAAGTTACAGCCAATTTTCATACTCTAGAGAAATATTTCTGAATAATTTCTAAAAGGTACTGCGGCTTTGACTTTATAGGTACAGCTTGGTGCGAGATAAGAGCTAAACTGATGAAGGAATCTCGAGCCAACACACGAGCAATCATTGCGGTAACCTAAAGTCTTGTCACGTAGCTACATCACCGTAGACTTTCTTCCTCACGGTTCCTGAACTGAAAGCAACACGTACCATCTCACTCTCAAACGGAAAGATTTTTTGCCCTTTCTGACCATGCACTTTCGTTGGGATGCTTTTATTCACGTAGGTAAATTTTTTTAGCTTGTGTTAGTAGCTTTGCTTGAGTTAGTATTCAGTCAACGACGACTTGAATTAATATTCAGTAAAATTTATTTGATTTTCCCTTGAAAACTTATCGCTGAAAATTGCACTAAAACTCAAGGCTTCATTCGTTTGTTGTAGCAATTTCGTGATTAATAGTTCGTAAATCCACCACTCGACAGAATTGCTCTGTTTACTAACACTGAATGATCGTTAAATTATCGTGTTCAACACCCAAAAGAAGAATGTTGCGTTTTTCAACCAGATTTCTACTGTAGTTCCAATATTTTTCACCGTAAATTGTTTATATTGCACATTGGTATTTTTTTACAAAATGAATATGTTTTTTTACAGTGATTATAAAATAGCTACGCACGAATACGAGACACGCCCAAATTTTGCTGACGACCACATCCCGGTCACGGCGGCCTCCACACGAAGTTCCTTCCCATGCCTCCATTTAAGTCCGCCATCTGCAGCCATGTTCCAAAGTCTGCCTATTTCTTCTCATCACCAAGCGATGCATCTTCCTTGTCCAACGTCACAGTCAAATTTCATCCAGCATCCACTCGGCTGTCACAGAAAAAGCAGCCTTCCCTACTCCAATGCGTCCGAAATACCAGAGCATGTAGAACCGAAGGTCATATATACTTGCAGTAATCAAGAATGTTCTGATATGGCCATCACTGAAGACTCCAATGATCAGACAGAAGTTGCGGACGACATTGTGAAACCATCCAAATCTCATGCCAGAAGTCACAGCGCGGCATACAACACTAGAAGCTTCAGTCCACCGGCGTTCATGAGTTTACCCTTCACCTTCACCGACACTCGAGCTGTCGAAGTGACAGTAGATACCAACGCTTCATCTGTGCCGTCGACTTCAACCACTTCAAATCTGAAAGACGTATTATCAGCATCTGGTCTTTGTACCGCGCAAAATGCACAAAAATTATCCGTTCCTGGTCCTGATCAGCACTCCATGTCGCTTACGGTTGTTGAACACAATTCGCTGCAGCGCATGAAATCTGCACCTGACAGCACCTGGAGACCATGGAAAGGATCTTTCAAGAGAAAATCTCTTCGTAAAAGTAAGCACAAGTCGGATAGAGCCGATCTCCAACTTGAAATGTTACCTTTCAAAATTAGTGATCCCGACGGGGAAGATATCACGATGGGAAGGCCAAACCCCCAACGACTCAACTCTTCCCCTGCGTGTGTGAACAATTGGAGTCCCTTGGAGAACCCACTACAAAGAAGCGTCACTTGTAAGCCCAAGAGAATTTCTGCTTCACCTTCTACCTGTCCGCGAAGCTCAGATGCTCCGGACAAAGAACCAAAGTCGGTGCTCATGTCCCCGAAGCCAACATTTCGATTTAGTCTCGACCCACCTAGACGTGATACCCTCTAAAGAATAACCATATGCCTCCGAAGATTTAGGATTATGAAAAAACTATCATTACGGCATTGAACTATTTGCAATTGAGCTCATTTCTTTTAGAAAGACTGTGTTTGGCGAGTTTGTGTCTAAAAAATAGCACAGTGAATGTCATTAAGTTAATAATTTTTAGTGGTAGATTTTTAATTTTTGTTGCCCAGGCGTTTGTCCAACTTTGTAGATTCACATGTTGTCAAAGATCATCGCGCTTAAGCGCTGTCGAATTATTTAATTATATTAGATTCAATTTTGAATATATCAATACACATAAACTTGAGTTCATCCAATCAAAATTGAATTAGTACTTATTCTTTATAATTTTAAGAATAGCTAACGCCGGTCGTGGGCAAAGTGCTTTGTACATGAGAAATAGTGTCTTCATTGCCTTATATTCGTATAGAACGAACACAGATTACGTATTTTTATCTAAGCTAAAGTTTAAATGCATGAACGACCTCCTTGAAAAATAATATATTCTAGTCTGCACAAACACATTCAAATGTAACATCATATCTGTATATTTAACTAGCATTAATTCACTTAGCAAATCAAATATTGAATATATGTCTATTTGAAATAGAAATGTTTGATATTCCTCCGGCAGTGGGTAATTTCATGGAAAATATTACACTTAGTAATATTAATATGTTAGAGTCACGGATTCGACAACAAGCGTAGAATCTTTAACAACTGCAACTTGTGCCTTGGATTTCTTTATGCTCCATCCACCGTGTATTATCTGATTTCTAATGATTAAAAAAAATCAGTTTTTCAACTTGTTAATTTTTGGTTAAATTTTAAGAGACTGGTAAATTGTTTTCTAATAATAATCTGATAGCAATCCGAGGCATCGGTACATAAAAACTCGGACCAATGGCCTTATTCGATGTATAAATTTTACGATCGTGTACGGCATATGGAAGCAGAATAGCAACACCGCTTGTCACCTCGCTCAGACGAGTCTGCCCGAACACATCTAAAAAGTCTACGGAAATTGCTCCGGACATTTAATTTACCCCTCCCCCAATTTTACGTTGCTTCAGTGACTGACAATTCCTAACCCAATATAATCCTGTAACAAGTACATTAAAATCCTGGAAGTTTAATTTTGCCACATTCCGGTAAATTCTTCAACAATTTATCATCGAACTGATGGTCGCAAATTTTAATCGTATCTATAGGCATGGTTGCGGAAACTACACCGGCAGTAGATGAAATATTCTACCTACTGCACATTCAAGAGCCTTCTAATTTACTCAAAGAAATTTGTTGTCCATTGACAAACTTTCCAGAATATTCTATAAATCTTGCTGTATATTCACGAACCTTCCAGCACATTCTAGAAGCTCACCGTAGATTCGCGAACGTTCCATCACACACCAGAAACTCGGCGTAGTTTTAAGAACCAATCGGTAAGTTATAGAACGTCATATTATCTTGCCTTCTCCCCGTCACGAAAGTCTGGAATGTTCGGAAACTTTCTAGAACTCAGCTCGCGGGTCATCGTGAACGATTTCGGTACTTCTTTAACGTATCGTGAAATAAAATTTTAAGCTCAGTTTTCAATAAAAATTTATAATAGGGATTTATTTGATATTCTGATTTCGAATATTTTTTTACATAAGGAGATTTTCCTAGTCAGTTTAAAAAATAAAATTCATATTATAGCAATAGAACTTACCAGTTCATTACATTTTAAGCAAGTAGGGGGCATGAAAATTTAACTATTAACACCTAAAAGGGAGTACTTACATTAAATACTTTGAACAAATCAATTTTGGAAATTTTGCTTCGAATTAGTAACATGATAGTGACTGACGACGCACTCTTTCAAGAAATTGTACGTCGAGATGAAAGGACGTCGGTCGAGATGAAATCTCAGCCTGCCGAACACTTGACAGTAGGCACCTGAATTTCTCGTTTGTCAACATTCAAATGTTGTTCATCTCTACTTAATTGGAAATGGACAGATGAAATATGGGTTGGGGGAAAATATTGAGTAGTGTTTCGCTTTGCATTTGCTTTGCTATTGAAGCTGACTTTTGCTAGGTTTCAGAAGGAGTAACTAAGATTTCAGTCGAGGAACACAAAATATCGATTTAATAACCTGATGCGTACAAAATAATTCGGAAATTTATCTTCTTTTGTTTGGCAATGTTCGATGGAACTTTTCGTGTGGGGAAAACCAACATGAAATATTATTCATCCTGAACAATTATCCTGAATAATTACCATACAAAGCATACCTCCTACTAAAGCATTCTTATTAGATGGACGAGAGGCTGTCCGAATCCGGCACAATCAAAATAGCCACTGCAATTTTCCGAATCATTCGACCAAGTGACGAAATTTTAAAACAACAACCATATAAATTACTAGCAGGGTAATTACAGGCCATAAATATATTCAGAGTCATACTAGGAACTTGAGTTAAATCTTCGCGAATATAGCAAACCAATACAAATTCTACGATTTGAGTTCAATTCAAAACCTATCTTGTTCAATTATTACTCAACACTTCTCACTAAATAATGAATCTAACTAAGCAGGAAACTTTGGAATTCAATATCTTAATTTAATTCAAGTATTACGTCAATATATCGAGGCAAATCAAATTAGGAATATTTCTATAGCCTTTATAAATACATATTAAGTCACCACCTCAACTTGTTGACAATGAAAAATTTCCGCCTTACCCTAACACGCTCTAGAAATCTCAGACTAAGTAATTTAGTTCACTCACGATGACTAAAATAGTCATAAAAATAATAATTTCACGTTTGAATCGCAATGCTATGAATGGATTCAGCGCGAATAAATCTTGGGAGTATTTCAAAATGAATTGACTAGGTTCAAAAGTTCTACTAATGTTTAAGTTGCTGAAATTTAGTACAAATGGTTACTTGCGTCTTAGCCAACTTGCAAGGAATAGAATATTTATGCAAACAAAATCAAAAGATTTGAAAATAATGTAGCTGCTAATAATAACCATTGAATGCGTACATCATAATCACACCAATATACTTGAAGCTCTTCATCGCTATGGTCAGTGTCAGATTAAACTCCTTAAGCTCATATGAAAATAAACACAGAATAAATCTAATAGTTTGTAGCAGCGAAGCAATCTTTTAATTTTCAATAATGTAATTGCATGGAATTGTTAATGAAAGCTCTCGGTTAGGGAAATTATTTCAAAATGATTTACTCCTTTTTCCATTATGGCATTTTCTAAAACGCGACACAAATGAAGGGAAAAGTGAGAAAATTAAAATTAACTTTTGCTAAGACGTTTAGAAGTTTTACAATTCAAACTCGTTTCTAACACAGTGTAAATTTAGTTACTTATATAACTGGAATCTCATCCTAGGCGTAGGAAGACCAACTACCCTGTATGAATTTGTAAGTTGAGTGGATATAAGTGGACTAGATAAATGCCAAGCAAATTTATATAGTCCAACTATTCAGAAGGACCAATTATATGTTGTGACGAATACAGCAACTGCTTGAACTCCAGCCTTCGCTTGCACAGCAGGAGAGTGCATTAGAATTGAATTTCAATTATTATTGAATTAGGTAATGATGATTAATTACAATTACTTAATAATACCCTCGTACAATAGACGCTCGCGAGTGCGTTTAAGATTGCTTTAACTACGCGAACTTATTCAAAAACTCATAGATTATTGAAAGCTGATGAAAATTTTGATTCTCGAAAAAGTGTGATTTGTGTCGTCACGCTTGAATTCGATCTAGACTAATTCATGTAACCATCCTGAAATGTAATCAATGCAGAATATTTCTGAGCTCCAGAATGCTAAATTGTTTTTTTTATTTTGTTCTTCAAAACCATATTTTGTTCCTGTAAAAGTTTCTTTTTATTATTGTACTTTTCAACCATTCTAAAAACAATGTATTACAGCGCACGAAGGTGGACATATCAAGGTGAGCTGCGCACGTATGTAATCACATAAGTTCACTGTACTTGAATTACCTGATGTCGATGTCATTAAATAGTAAATTTAGAACACTTACATATGTTATTAATTACATACCAGGCTATGATAGATAATTCGAGCTGGGCATCGCGTTCAAAAATATTTTGCATCAATTTTGATTTAAAATATAATTTTGAATCAATTTTGATTCTGACTTGAAATTTATATAAAAAAACGCTGAGAATAACACGTAAGTTCAATAGAGACTTGCATCACTTGAAAGGAAAAAATATTTAGGCAATATTTACCTTGAAAACCTTGATCATAGGTCGTACGAAATAACCTGCATTAGAAATATTGCCTCTCAAAAAGTGAATTAATTCAAAGCATAATATTCAGCTTACAAATCAAATGTCAGTAAAATATTTTTTCTTAACCCAAACAACCTTTCCAATCGGAAAAAGGGCCCAAAATCAATCAAATTTGGAAGTATTCATCAGTAGTATGACCGACAACAATCAAACAATGTAGAAGCCTTTTAATTCCGAAAAAGAAAAGAAAATCAACCAAATCCGGTCAAAACAAAGGTAAATTTTGAAAACTGATGAAAATCATGCACAAATTTTGTATCACCCTACATGCAAAAATAAATTGTATTCCTCATAAATTCTAACCACCAAAGAATGTCACACTGCTACAAATACTACAATTAACGAACTACAAATACAAGATTGAAACAAGTCAAAAAATGGGAGGCTTCTAAATATTAAAAATGGGAGACTTCGATGGATTAGATGATGGTGCGAAAGCTTTCAGAAGAGCCCCTGGGTATTTTCAGCAGTAATTGGTCCAGGGATACGCTCAAGGAAACGAGAATTTTGTTGCTATTATAGCTCTTAACACGTTGACTACGATTGCTTCATCTTGTACCATTATTTCATTTTTTGTACTGTTTTATAAAACAGGGTTGCCAGACGGTCATTTTTTTCCGGACAAATTACGCGATTTAGTTTTTCTCAATCGCGTTGGCCGGCTAAAATTTATGATAGGGGTATTCCCCCCCCCCCCTCTAGTTTTAAATACTGCAAAAAGAAAATAAATGTGATTTTTAAAGCGGAACTTACAAATGAACTACTATCTATTAAGTTATTGGCCTTTTATGGCCTTTTTTGTTCTCGGATTTGGCCGATTTTGGGCAACCTGAATTATGTACCACTACGTCCTGGAGAAATACATTTCGTGGTACGCATATGTACCACTTCGGAGTCAACGTGTTAAAATCTGTTCGCTATTTGAACTCCGAACATAACATGAGCAGAAACTTCAATTTTCCAGTGTTATAGACATACCTATACGTATAATATATCGTAAATTTGTGGAAATCAAAGAATAAAATTTCCGTTTTATATATAACTTTTGGGTCTCGCGTAAACTTTCCACAATCCCTTCGGTTCTGAATCTAATAGAAATATTTCTTATTAATCACACGAATAATATAATATTTAACTTACATATAATGAGAACAAAGACTACCCATTACTATAGGAGGGTAAAATGTTTTTTAAACTTAAAAAAGCCTGAAAATACCAGCGATCTTGGGTAAAATGCGTATTTAACCCCCGCAAAGCATGGAATTTCCAACAATCTAGGGTAAAATGCATGTTTACCTCGACAAAGCCTGGTATTCCCAGTAATCTAGGGTAATATGCATGTTTAACCTCGACAAAGCCTATAATTCCCAGTCATCTAGGGTAAAATTCTTGTTTAACCTCGACAAAGCCTGGAATTTCCGGTGATCTAGGGTAAAATGCATGGTTAACCTCGACAAAGCCTGGAATTTGAAACGATCTAGGGTTAAATGCATGTTTAACCTCGACAAAGCCTGGAATTTCCNCAAAGTTGATGGAAGCAAAATTTAGAGTTTGATGTCAAAGTTGATGGAAGCAAAATTTAGAGTTTGATGTCAAAGTTGATGGAAGCAAAATTTAGAGTTTGATGTCAAAGTTGATGGCAGCAAAATTTTGAGTTTGATGTCAAAGTTGATGGCAGCAAAATTTTGAGTTCGACGAAGCAACGAATGGATTCAAAATCCTGAGGCCAACAAATTCAGTGTGACGTTAATAACATGATAGTGACTGACGAAACACTCGTTCAAGAAATTGTATGTCGGGATGAAAGCAAAACCAAAAAATATAACTCAGTACACACTGCAGTGAGTGACAGAGCGTGCATTTTCTCGTCGACGAAAACGTGAAGTCACGGACAGACAGACGGACATGACGAGCACAATAGCGTCTTTTTTTCAGTAAATGAGAAAACGTGCTAAAAGGCTGAAAATATCATCTCAGGCTGCCAAACACTTGTCAGGAGGCACCAAAAGTTTGTGAATAAAAATCTACCGATAAATTAGCTTTATAAAGTAACAAGAACGTGGGGACAGAAATGTTGTTAAAAATTCAACCTTCAAAAAAGTTTGACAATGGTCAGAAATTGAATTTTTATGTAAGGGTAACTTTTAATGGAAGTCGGCAACTTATATACTAGGGCTTATAAATATCAGAAAAATATTTTAGTGTCCACTGAAAGGCTTTATATTATGTAATTCATGACGATTTTTTGTTTACATACAAAATACGCAACATTCTTTTGGAAAGTCACGCGATCCTTGGCGGTACTGCACAGGCACAATAAAGACAAGCTAACGGCACCCACGCAACCCAGTCAACTGTTCTCCCGCCACCACTGGATGCCACTACTACCCTCAACCGCCACCACTGGATGCCACTACTACCCTCACCCGCCACCACTGGATGCCACCACTAACCTCACCCGCCACCACTGGACGCCACTACTACCCTCACCCGCCACCACTGGATGCCACTACTACCCTCACCCGCCACCACTGGATGCCACTACAACCCTCACCCGCCACCACTGGATGCCACAACTACCCTCACCCGCCACCACTGGATGCCACAACTACCCTCACCCGCCACCCCTGGATGGCACCAATACCCTCACCCAGACTCACACAAGCCAGTCGACGGTGAAGAAGAGGGTAACGTCGTCCGAGGGCAGGTCGACGGCGGTCAGGACGATCAGGATGAGGAAGAGGGCTGCGCTGGGCACGCTGGCGCTAGCGACGCTCGCGGCAGTCGCTGTAACTCTGCAACCATACCAGACAATATTCAATTCTGTAATGAGAAACTCCTAGAATCCATTTAGTTATTGGAATTTCACGAAAATGCTATAAAGGTGCTAGCAGCTAATTTGACAATATAATTGAGTTAATTAAAAATTTAAATTCGCCCCTGAATGAGTTGAGGTGCCAGACACATTTTTGATTTTAATTATCGAAGTTACTAAGGATTCCACGCGGTCGACCATCACTCTTCTGAAAGCTGTATCAGATCAAATGCTTAGTCGTTGAGAAAGTGATTAATGTTCTCTTCTTCATTAAAAATCGTCTTCTGGGCTTATCGGAACCATATAGTGACTGACGGTTTAACAGATAATTAGGAGCCATACACTGGCGGTTTAATCGAAAATTCAGAGCCATACACTGGCGGTTTAATAAAAAATTCAGAGCCATACACTGGCGGTTTAATCAAAAATTCAGAGCCATACACTGGCGGTTTAATCAAAAATTCAGAGCCATACACTGACGGTTTAATCAAAAATTCAGAGAAATACACTGGCGGTTTAATCAAAAATTCGAAGCCGTACACTGGCGGGTTAATATAAAAGTATGCTTCACTCACGCAATAGTGGCGTAGTCGCCGATGCCCAGGACTCTCTCGTTGATCTGAGCGATGAAGCAGGTGCCCACGGCCACGAAGAGCGCCGTGCCGTCCATGTTGACGGTCGCGCCGATGGGCAAAACAAAGCGCGATATGCGCGGGTCTACGCCGCACTTGTCGTTCATGCAGCGGAACGTGATGGGCAACGTGGCCGCTCTGTGGGGGTGAAGTGTTAACAAATTATTTGCTGTGTGGTCATTAATGCTAAATAAATAATAGTGTTAAATTAATCGCATCAGCATCATCGTCAATTTGTTGATAACGCCATCGCGCATAAGCAGCAGTGCCTGGTATCCATACATTGTACGAGAATGGGACCTGACTCACGATTTTAGAATGAAATATTTTGTACCGAAATGAATAACAACAGTTTGTGCTGCAGTGAACAAGGCAAACCTAATTGATTCTAGTGAGAGATCAATTTTGATGATTTAAGTTTTTAAGGCGTACATGAAGTCAATAAAAGAGGGGGAAAAAAGGTTACATGCTTGCCAGGAGCGAGTATGTTTTAGTCGTTAACTTCTTAGGGTACTCAGAATTATAGTGCTATGTTATATAGGCAACCGGAAAAAAAGTCGCCAAAGGGAAAATGGATCCGAAAAAATGTAGCGAGCAATAATTTTAGCCCATTTGGCGATTACTGCGATGAATGTAAATCACATCATAAATAAAAACTGCCATGAGGCTTCCAATAAACATGCACAAAAAAAGTACACTACAACCACATTCACAGTGAAGTTAATCCAAGGCCAAAAATCAAATCAACGATCAATTATCTGTAGTTGATCGCTAACGTGCCATCTGGAAATTACTTCTCTACTGGGAATTTGATATGATCAGTCATCAGCCTCTATGTACCAAACAACCTGGGGATGAACCTTGGGAAATATGCTTGGGCAACCCGCAAATTATGATTTTCTCCTGCGCTCACAGCACTTGACAAGTTTTTCCAAACATTAATTCAGATTACAGAGTAAGATTAAAGTTAATTGATTTCATCAAATTTACAATCAAAATTTTATAGAATACAAACTAAGCACTTTAGTTAGGNGTTCAAATGGTAGTGCGGAGGTTGGTCTGAATTTTCTCACATCGTAGTTTGGGAGTAGGTTCGCATTTTACGGAATGTTAATTATAAAATTAAACAAAAACGTTCCATTTCGAATTATTTGCACCCATTGACGGCCAATGAAGAAAGGTAGCTGCTCCAAACAAGCATGAAAGATTTCATCACAACCATCAACTTTTAATTCACAATTTAATTAACACTATGGAAACAAATTCAATAAACATTATGTATACTTACGTTGACGCCGTGGCGAAGGCCGTGACCCAGGCCTCAAGGAGGTTGAAGTAGAACTTGAATGGGTTCTTACGCACGATGATCAGGTACAAGAGGTTCTGGAACACCAACTGGTACAGGAAGACTCCGATGATCACAGTGACGATGAAGAGAGCTAAGGTGCTCATTACAGCTGCCAGTTTGTCCACCGCCAAGATCTTGCTCATTATCACGCTCGCCACGCCCACGGGCGACAACCTTTGTACGGAATAATTAGCTTTTCAGTACAATATCTACAATTATATTAACACATTTGTAAAAGAATAATGATGAAGTTTCTACTAAATTATTTATGATTTTATTAAAACATTTGCACAAGGACATCCCATACCATCCACTACAGCATAAAAACTGTTTATAAAAACCGTTACATGATAACAGAAGTTTCATTTAAATTAAAGAATTTGCAGTAGATATAAGTTACCTAAATGATGTACTCGTTCATATGCCAAATTTTAAGGGAACTTTCCTAGTTTGGAACCAAATTTCAGGTCTTGCAATAACTGAGTCTATATGAAGAATGGAAAAATGCACAAAAAACTGTGATATGGGGCCTGCGTTATCATTCGATCACGAATTAGAGCTTCTGCCAGATTGCATTAAAACAAAACTTAGTAGTCGAATTGAATTTATCCTCTCGTGAATTTTTTATCTAAATTTTATTCGAGCTGCTACCTGACTGAATTTCGGATGCCAATTGCTACTGGAGAAAACTTTTGATGTGCTGTTATAAATGGCCTTAACTTCCAAACAAATTTCTTTTTATTAAAACCAAACCCTCAATAGAATTTCCGAATCCCAATCCATCTGATTACTCGGTATTTTTCAATACTAATTGAGACCTAGTCCTGCAAAGACACACCAGCTCGACCGGCTTCTAAATCATCAGACTACACCAACAAACTTGCTTCCTGATTCAACGAACCTCAAAATATTTCTCTAGCCTAATTCAACCAGCAGAAGGTAAATTGTCAAAAGTTGGCACACTTTCGCATCGAATTATCTCTAGTGAATCATCGATTCGAATTATCACTAGTGAATCATCGTATTGAATTATCACTAGTGAATCATCGTATCGAATCATCCCAAGTCACTAGAACACACAAACAAACTACTCTCTCGCTGGCTCAACGAACCACATGATGCCGGTCACGATCTTGAGGATAACTTCGTCGACGATGGCGAAGAATTCGGTGACCGGCGAACCGCGTTTACCAAGAGATCCGAGCACCGTGCCGAATACCAGCGAGAAAGCGCCGATGGGCAAAACAAAGCGCGATATGCGCGGGTCTACGCCGCACTTGTCGTTCATGCAGCGGAACGTGATGGGCAACGTGGCCGCTCTGTGCGGGTGAAGTCGTAATTCATGACGATAACATGATAGTGACTGACGACACACTCATTCAAGAAATTATATATCGAGATGAAAGCAGAACCAAAAAATATAACTCAGTACTCACTGAAGTGAGTTACAGAGAGCGCATTTTCTCGTCGACGAAAACGTGAAGTCACGGACAGACGGATACACAGACGGACGGACATGACGAGCACAATAGCGACTACCAAATTCAATAACGCCAATGAGCAAGTAACGTCAATAAATGGTTTGCTGTGTGGTCATTAATGCTATATAAATAGTCGTGGTAAATTAATCGCATCCACACCATCGTCAATTCAACTGCCATCGCGCATAAGCAGCAGTGAGTGGGATCAATGCATTGTAAATGTAAGATGAATCACGATATTAGAATAAGAGATTTGGTACCGAAATGAATAACCGAAATTATTTTAGTGGGTGGTCAATTTTGACGATTTAAGGCGCACAGGAGCGAGTCTGTTTTAGTCGTTAAATGCTAGGAGTACCCTGAATTGCAGTGCTATGCAATATAGGCACCCCGAAAAAGAGTCACCAAAGAGAAAACGGATCCGAAAAAATGTAGAGATCGATAATTTTAGCCTATATGGCTATTATACTGCGATGAATGTACATCACACCATATATAAGAACTGCCATGAGGCTTCCAACAAACACGTACGAATTAGTACACTACAACCACATACACAGTAAAGTTAATCCAAGGCCAAAAATAAAATCAACGATCACAAGTTCTGTAATCCTAAATTCTGGAATAAATATGTAATTAATTCCAAATTATTTTAAATAATTCAGTTAATTTCCACTCGAAAATGAAGAAGTGGCACATTTCGCGACGAGCGCTGGTTCTTGCCTTGTGTGCAGCACATCAAAAATATAGGTTTTTATCTGTTGTTTATAGCTAGCGTGCCATCTGGAAATTACTTTTCTACTGGGAATTTGACATGATAAATCATCAGCCTCTATGTACCAAACAACCTGGGGATGAACCTTGGGAAATATGCTTGGGCAAAAGATATCAATGGTTTAATTTTAGAATGATACTTGTGTATGATATCAACATACTCTGATATCCGATTTCAAATTAAATAAAAAGAAATAGGTTTCCCAGAGTAGGTGTAATATTTCAAATACATGTGATGAGAATAGACTCTCTTATTCATCAAGTGGCGATTATATTGATCATATTTATATTAAAGCTGAGCACTGCATAGGCATGAATCTTCCACGAACAACTCATTGTTATTGTACCATATAACCACGAATTGATTAATATAAAGCTTTAGTAAAGGTTAAGTAACGCTTGAGTAATGAGTGAGTAACGTTTGAGTAACGAGTAAGTAACGTTTGAGTAATAAGTAAGGAGCGTTTGAGTAATGAGTAAGTAATGCTTGAGTAATGATTAAGTAACGTTTGAGTAATGATTAGGTAACGTTTGAGTAATGAGTAGGTAAGTAACTTTAGAGTAATGAGTAAGTAATGTTTGAGTAATGAGTAATTAACGCTTGAGTAATGCGTATGTAACGTTTGAGTAATGAGTAAGTAATGTTTGAGTAATGAGAAAGTAATGCTCGACAGATAAAGTTCTGAAATAGAACCTCAGAAAGGGAGTGATGGCTGTTGCACCATCTTATTCAAACCGAATTCATTTCAAGAAAACAATCGATTTTGTTCAGCAGAGAGAGACAATATTTGTTGCAAGAAGGAGATTTACGACTCGGGAAAAAAAAACACATTTTTCATCAGCAATCAACTTAAATATATTTATACACACACGAAAGTCCCATGTGAAACTTGGATGTCCACGAAACACAGCCAAGTACAATTATACCACAAGCCTAACACGAGAAAGTTTGTACAGATTCTCTAACAGCATTGAAATTGTTTGACCCGTATTTTATTACAACAGAATTAATGTATTCAAGGTCCTAGTCTTGCCCTTATACCTTGCGAGGAAAACTTAAAAAAACGAAGAAAATTAAAAACTCTTATTAATGCAGCAAGCTCGTCTGAATTCTCGCCCCAAACCCAAGTATCTTCCAAGAGAAGCATCGTGGCACCGTGGAAACAACTCGAGCTTATTTAGCAAACGGGATGTGAGGGAAGAACGTGTGAAGCCCCATTCAATAATAGTTTACTATAGGTAACTACGGTCTCGAGTGAGAATTAGTTCGAATTGTTAGTGCGTTGAGATTGGTCTCCGTCTGAATTTTCTCGCATACTATTTTGGAAGTAGGGTCGCATTTTACGGAATGTTAAGCAAATTTTAAAATTAAATAAAAACGTTCCATTTCGAATTATTTGCACCAATTGACAGCCAATGAAGAAAGGTAGCTGCTCCAAACAAGCAAATCCGCGACTCCAGCGCGTCATCCCGACCATTATACCAAAGTACAAGAATAATTTAGGAGGAACAGACATACGAACCTGTCGAACGAGTCTGGTTACTTCCTCCATCACTTCGGAGCTGTTGGCCGCCATCACCGGCACGGTCTCTTCTTTGTACACAGTTTGCACCTGCAAAGTGACCTACAAATTATCTACATTGGCGGTTAGAGTCCTGCTCATTGCGTAAAATACGGCTACGTAATTCTGAGACTTGAGCGACGGGCGACGTGCAGTCTTCAACTACAATGGTTTCAACAACCTCTTCCTGATACTGTGTACGTAATCACTGAAGAATTATCAGATCTACATTTGACGACAAACGAAGCCAAATATTATGACAGTCGCGAGATATATATTCATCAGATCACAAATGAAATAAATAGCAATTTATGATGAATATGATCGAGTAGCAATCAGAGTCGTATTGATCGAACATCTCACGTAAGAAGATTTATGTCACGCAAGGGTGGCAGATTTATACTTCATAAATGGTACATTATCTGCACACTCAAGTTTAGCTCAACCTCCCGAATGAATCAACATTAACATATCTAATTAGTCATCATGTCTGTCGTTATTGGATATACCTGCAAGCATTAGCACATTGATCAAGACCGAGATCGCCTGCATGTATTCAATATAAGCTTTAAGCAAGTTTCACTGAAGACCAGAGAATTCATTTTATTGAAGACCTCTTCATTGAAACCTGCTTAAAGGAACAAATTTTGCCAGCATATACTAATATAAGCTTCATAAAGGCTGGATTGCATTCAATAAAGTGAGTGAAGCCTGGCCTGCTGGAAGGCGGCGACGAAGAGGTTGTCAGGGAAGAGGTTGCGTCCGAGGTCCAGGAAGCCGTCGAGGATGTTGGCGTTGTTGGACGAGCTGCTCTTCTCGTACACGTCGTCCAGGCTCTGACCAGGCAGTGTACCGATTAAATATCACCTCAGATCATCGTGAAAATTAAATCAATTATTCTAATTTTTACGTCCGAGTTGTTGTGATATCAGTGTGATGAATAAATTCTCATGCATTGTAACATAACGGGAGTAATTCAAGATAATAGCATGACTTATTCCTAAACCTTCATTCAGTAATTTTTATTCTATACAATTATAAATCCCGCATTTAGGTATTGACATCATCCAAAGCCAAACAAAGCAAGTCTTCTTAAGCCAAGCGTAGCTAAGCTGAGTCAGGCCAGTTCACTTCACGCCGCGTCAACTCAGGCCAAGTCAGGTCAAGTCAAGTAAATTAAAGCCAGGTCAAGCCAAGCTAAGCTAAGCCAAATCATGACATATAAAGTCAGGTCAAGTCGAGTAAATTAAAGCCAGGCCAAGCCAAGATAAATTAAACCAAATCATGCCTTCTTAAGTCAGGTCAAGTTTAGTCATGCGAAGTGCAGCCAAGCCAAGTCCAATCCAATCCAATCCAATCAAGCCAAGCTAGGTCAAGCCCATCAGATCATGCCAAGCCAAGTCCAATCAAGCCAAGCCAAATCAAACCAAGCCAAGTCAAACCCAGACAAGCCAAGTCAATTGCAGCGGACCTGGTTAGAAAGCCCCACGCCTGGCTTGATGGCTATGGCCAGAAGGATGCCGAGGATGGCGTTGAAGAAGGACGTAGCCAGGAAGTATCCAACGGTCTTGGCCACGATCGAGCCGCTCAGGTTGGCGTTTAGGCTAGCAGATCCTGCAAAGAAAACGCAAGGGGAACGCTAATATTATCAGGTAAAATTTTAGTAACGATATAGGTATTTAAAAAATGATATAGAACGCTGAATATGCAATTTATTGCAATGTGTAGTAAACTAAACTAATATCGATTCGTTCGCCAGTTGGTTTTAAATGAATTTCTGAAGATCCGAAACTGTTTTATTAAAACAATACTTAACGAGAAAAATGAACAACATATCATTTATATGTTGTTCTATTTCTATATCTCATGACACACACTATCACGACACATATAAAAAATAAAGTTATTGTTGACTTTCGTAAAGGAACTGACGAACATGATCGCTTTCTAGAGGGAGCGTCCTCAGGTATCAGGTGTGTGAAACTGAGACCTACAGTCAGACACCGCGAGCTCAGCGGTGGGGCGCTCAGGAACAATCCCCCTAGGAACGCGAAATCCCATAGGACTTCTGACGCGCATAGACACGCGTCAGAAGTCCCCCCTGAGGGGAAACCATCAGTGCAAGTCATTTTTCGCTCACTAGAACGTATCCTTTTTGGGAAGAAGGCTTGTGACAATATTGCTCCGGTTGCTCGTGTCAGGCGGTAGAGGGTTAAGAGCGTACCACCTGTACATCCTGCAACCTCCTGCTTCCTGCCATTGCAATATCTGCCTCTCTGCTCCTGCACCTTCTGCCTACCTGCTCCTGCACCTTCTGCCTCCCTGCTCCTGCACCTTCAGCCTTCCTCGCCCCACATTTACAAGCCTTCCTATGTTGCGCTGTGAAATAAATCTAACAATGTTCCCCTTTTACGCGGCTTCCTAGTGTAACTATTGAGAATCCGTGCATACTCATAGAAAGATATTGGCAGCCAGGAAATCGTCTACCTTGTCTACTCGGCAGGCGAGTTTATTGTGTATGACACACGAGCACACACACGCGCGCTACGCGCCGTGAAGCGCGCGCAATACGCGTGCACAGCCGCGGTCTATTAGGCATTCACAAAGCGGCAGAGGGATGACGCGATAGGACGATGAGACGGTTGGACGCTTGCTAGGCTTCTTGACGGAATCAAAATAAAATGTGGCTATAAACTAATGGCTCCCGTGAAGAATAACACGAGACAACTGCTCGGTAAACGACAGTCAACGTCTAAAATTCAGCGCAAAAACATGGTCTGGTAGTTTTTCATTGCTTAACTGGCCAGTGCAAATAAAAACAAAACAAATATCGTAGAAAAGAAAGATCCTGAATTTTGCTAACCGTGGACATTTTCTTAACCACGACTGCTGCGCTCACTAGAACTCTCAGATTGCAACGTCAGCAATTAGCGCGGTCGATGTTGCGTCTAATACCGTAATAAGCAACGTCAGTAAACAACGCATTTGAGGTGGCGACGAATATGTTTCAACGTCAGCAAACATGAATCGCGTGAACTCATTGAATTACAAGACATTGCGCTCATATTCCACAACAGCAGTAAAAGATGGAGCCTGTGGTTTTCCTATGATTGTTTTATTGCTTTTATATTGTGACTCTACTCTTGTATGCGCAATACCTTTATACCTTTAATGTAAAATTTCAATACTCTATAATTAATTTATTGTGTTTGTATATTTGTATATTGCAATATTTATAATATAAAATATTATAATATTTCTTCCTTGCATAAATAATGAAGGCAATGATTTCAACTGTCATTCTAAAATACTTCTTTGATAGATGCCGAATTTCGAACATAATTTGTCTTTATCGAAGCAGATGATTTTTTGTTATCGAGATTATCAAGAAATAACCAGTTTTGGGCAGACAGTTTTCGACTGCTGCTACCCTAACAAAATTTAGAGGCGTGCGCGACCCTGCATTAGAGCCGCCTAGGAATCGGGAGTGCGTAAATTCGGGAGCATGTAAGTTTCTCTCAGTCCGGTTCGGCTCAGGGTTTGAAGGGCAGCCTCGTCTGGAATGCTTTCTAGATCGGTATGACTCGGCTCGGCCAACCCTTGTCATACTCTCAGGCGACTATAACGTCGGAAAGGAGATTCTGACCAGGGGCCGTATTATCAAAACTTCGTAAGTACGCAAAATCGACTTACGAGTGGCGTTGCTATGACAACGTAATACTAGCGGTGGTATTATAAAAACATTTGCGCGGGAAAAAAATTTGGGCTTTTAGCTAAGACTTGCGTACGAAAGTTTTGATAATGCCAAAATTAGGGTGTATTTACGTACCACAGAACTATTTTGTCGTAAGTACAAAAAGTTACGAAGTTTTGATAATCCGGCCCCAGAAACTGATTTCTATCGGGTGGCCATGCAGACCCAGAATAACTTTGCGCCGAGTGTAGTGACTATTCGGCCGAAGCCTAGGCGGTCCCCGAGTTCTTTTTGAGTATATCACCAAAGCCAACTACGCAACATTAATTACGTGGTTAGTTTACCATAATAAGCACACTTCCCAATCAGTCTTGAGAGACTAACTTGAAAAATCAATCATGGCCACAGCGTTTAGTGGCCGTCAAATGAATTTACTCATACAATAGATCAATGGAAGATCAAATGAATTTTTTCAATGAAGTGAAAATACGGTTTGATTTCAAATTGAATAGATTATCGTGGAATGTATTTATAGTGGAATTTCCATAAAACGAAAGGCAGTAGACGACCTGAATCATTGGATGATAAACGCGTAAAAATGGTTAACTTAACCGACGTAGGTTGCATACAAATCAAATTCTAAGATGCGATATCGTTAAGCAATTTGCAAGATTTTAATGAGAATATTTTTAGAGTATAATATAAGTTCGATTGTTGCTAATCAGTCAAACATTAATAATGGAATCAAAAATCTAAAATGAAAAATCTAGTATTTTTATTTGGTATAACAGCAGAAGAGCATCGACGCGTGTCACTGAGAACTTCTTCCCGTCAGCAACATCTGAAAATTGCGCCGCATATGCGATACAAAACATAACACCTTTCGCTAGTGCTTGTATTTTAAAGTAGTTTTTCAACTATAGTATTACATTATACACGTGATACGAGTGGCGACTTATCACCCACCTGCAATGAGCGAAGCTATCACCAGGGGCAGGATCATGAGCTTCAGCATCCTGATGAACAGCTCGCCTGGGTAGGACAACAGCAGGATTGTCGTTGCGCCGGGCTCGGCATAACGCAAACCCATTCCTGTGCAACATATTTTACATGCCAAATAAGAGCTGAAATTCAGGAAATTAAAAAAAAATATATCAGAAGAAATTCACGACTAATTCGTGAACAGCCGATTACTATATGAAAACACCGCATGAGAAGGCAAATTATATTTGAATGCCAAAAAATGTCAAAAACGCAATTGTATTCTATCCATAATCGTAATTAAAAAACATGTATATTGAACGATTATACATCGTTTCTTCTATAAATATTTCTTCCATTCAAGGCACAACAGTGAAACTTTAGCAATGGCCGTGTCTGCAACACCGATAATTACTGTAAGGTAATGTCACCAACACAAATTCATCGACAGGATTCCCCTTTTGAGATTTAACCTGCGTTAAAAAAATGTAACGTCGATCTTGAGAATAGAGAGTTTATTCTTTTAATAACAATCATGCATAAAAAACTGTACCCAGAGCGACGCCCAGGATTACGCCGCCCACAGTCAGCACGAGCAGCAGATGTTTCTTGAGACATCCTCGCTGCAGAGCGTCCACGCCTGCCATCGTGGCGTCTGTAAAGGAAACGGTTCTCTATTATCATTATTGTTGCATAATATTGAAATTGTAACGCAATTACAGTTTGATCGTCGCCATCGCTGGCGCATGTAAACGAAACGGTTCTCTATTATCATTACTATTGCGTAATATTGAAAATAACGCAATGATAGCTTGATCGTCGCCATCGCTGGTGCCTGTAAAAGGATCTATTCTTCATCATCATTCCAGTTGCATAATATTGAAAGTGTAACGCAATGATAGCTTGATCGTCGCCATCGCTGGTGCCTGAAAAAGAATCGATTCTCCATCAGCCTTCCAGTTGCGTAATGAGTATCGTGGTGCATATTGATAGTGTAACATGACAATAGTTTGAAAGATACTCGCGAGCCAGCAGGGCTAAATCTTCCAGTTTTCTTCCTCTAAGTATAGCTATAGTGGTGGTATGTTGTGTCAGAGAGACGCTGTCACAGTTATGAGGTTATAGTTATAGATATTGGTGTCTTTTGTTATAAAGCATAATATGTGGTGTGGTGATCATTAAAAAATATAGACCACAAATTATGTGATGAATTGAGCGGTAGGAATTCAAAATCATTATTATTTTGCCTGATGTAAGGAAATAAATATATTGACTAGGTCGTTACACCTCATGTATTTTTAATACATGAAATAATACATGAACGTTAAAATGTAATAGGTATTTCATACACGGAATAATACATTTTAACGATGATGGCGGATCGTAACAAGTCGAAATAGAAGACTTGGCCAATCATTTCTAAAATTTTCTTTTTGAGCCCTACGCCAAAATGAAATAAATTTCCGTCATGAACATGGAAAAGTTGTAAACTAAACACAATCATAATTTCGCCTTTAGACTAGAGTGCTAAATTTTAACAGAATAAAAATTTATTCTTCACACAGCTTCTAGAAAAAAATTGAGAAATCGAAACAAAAATTTCAAAATTTCACTTCTACTTATCGAATTATTCTATTTTAATTATGGAAAGACCTGTAGTAATAAGTAGACATCTATAAATTAAATGAAACTTAAACGAAATATCCAGAAAAAATATTACCTTTTATATTAGCAGATGAGGTAGCCACCGTAAGAACTGGAATTGTGTAATTGTATCCCTATATTTAACTTCACTCAATTCGTACTTGAAAAATTGTCTCAAGTTCCGTAGATGATGAGAATACGCTGGTCATTACACAGCTCATGCGCGCGGAAAACTCGGTACAAAATAAATAACAACACCAGAATACGTTACATTATCAGAAATAGTGTTACAGAGCATTTAGTCATTGGTGGAGTAACTTCAAAGTTTCAGTGCACTCATTACGTGCTATTCGTGAATTTAATGCCATACAATGCGCTGAGCATCACCGCATTACTGACGAAGAAAATACTTTTAGGGTTACAACAAATTTATGACATTGAAGCTTACATAATTGAGGCTGAGAAAAATCGGCAGAAAGAACTTCAGAACTCCACACAGGAATCAAGATGGCAATCACAAACATCGTCACATACAGAGACGGTAGCAATACTACGTAATTAAAGGGAAAATGATAACGTGGTCTTTATTGGTAGTGTTGATGGACCTACAGGATGGATTTAACGGGGCCAAACATGTTATGAATTTTCGAATTTAAATGTAAATCAAGTGCCTCAGCCGATATGCTGTATGTATGCTGAATGAGAGATTTTTCGATTTTTACGAAACGTTTCTTTTAGAAAAATTCTAATTTTGAATTTTTTTTTGCTTGCCAGCGATTTAAAAAACACAGAGGATTGCATACAGGATTTAGAGCGACGGCGCGTCAAAACAATGCCTTCGTTTTAATCAAGGTTCTCATTCTCCACTAATGCGTTAGACTATAGAAGCGACAAAGTTTAAAATTTAATATACGTGCAGTAAGTAAACACTTATAGTTATACCTGCCATACATGCAACAGGTGCTGAAAACCTGACATTAATATTAAAATTGTTCGTTCAAAAGCCCCGACTCCACGTTGCAACAAGCGTCGGCGTAACTCTTATGCACCGAAATTATTTTCAAAAATTTTCTTGCTCAGCGCGAAGTAAAGAAAACGCAAGCGAGAAACTCAGATAGCATCAAATGATCTCCGTCCCAGCTATGACTAAAAGGGACGTCCCAGCTATGAATAAAAGGGACGTCCCAGCTATGAATAAAAGGAACGTCCCAGCTATGAATAAAAGGGACGTCCCAGCTATGAATAAAAGGGACGTCCCAGCAATGAATAAAAGGGACGTCCCAGCTATGAATAAAAGGGACGTCCCAGCTATGAATAATAGTCACCTCTGCAGAGGTATCCATACTTTAATAATGAACCCATTGTTTTCCTGTGTGTATATAGTACAACAAACATGTTAAGAGTTACCGCTGTCATGTTTGCGGGAAACGATGACAAAATTATCAAAGTGTATCATGTAAAATCTTAATGCTTAAATTTAAATTTGTTACACTTCTTTCTTATCATTGATCCTATGCACCACAACAAATTCACCAAATAAATACTAAGTTTTCGATGTAATTTTGCCATTTATGTTAGCCTATAGGTCGATTTCTTGTTGTCAAGCTACAACAGAAGCCAAACAACCCCAAGGTTCACGGAGTCAAGGCCGCGAGGAGAAGCCGTTCACGTGCGAGCCGCGGTTGGACGGTTGCCAAGCAACGAGCGGCTAACCGGCGCCCCGGCGCCGTATTAACCGGCCTTGCACTCATAAAAATAAATAGACCATACTGTCCAAATAGGGATAATTTCTCCCCTTAACACTGATACGCCCTTTTGCCAGGACAAAGTGATCAGGATGATTCATACATGTAAAAAAATTCTTTTTCGAGTCTCATTCCCCTGACAGAGTACGCCGGTTTCCTCGATCAGAGGTCATTCGGCGTAGATTAAACGAATCGAGATTTACGTTTCTTGAAAAAATAAGTGATGAATTTACGTCAAAAATGCTTTCAAACTGAAACTAAGAGCATTTTTGTCCCTGAATTTAAATTTAATAAATTTCAATTTGTTGACATAACTCTACGGACTTGGTCTTCAGATTTCAAGGTCAGTTTTCGGGAGCAATCTTATATTTTTCGAGTAAATATAAGCTGACTCTTCCTACAGATTTCAAGAAAGTACGGTCTTTTGTAATTTTTTTCTACTTAGTTAAGGTGTATTGAATTGAAGACCAAGTGGTTCTTTCTTCGACCTCAGTTCATATTCCATTTATATATTAAATGGGATCAAAAAATCATAAGGACTACAAATAAATAACTAGGAAATTACGTTCAATTTTGTTTACTGCAGGCCATGCATAGCAAGCAACCTGTCAGTGACGAAGCTAAGTATAAAGTTAATCAGCCCTGTAAGATTAAAATGGTCAGGCGTTAACATTAAGAACGGAAGCATTTTCTAATGAGATTATGCAAATTGTCATCTCATTAAAATCTCAGTAAAAAATGAAATTAATCATCGTCAAATAATGGAAGGTTTGATGACGGTAACGAATTCAATTATATATACGCGTGTCAATAAAATTAATGTATCAAAATTATAATTAAAAAAAGTTATTATTTGAAATATTGTTCATTCAATGATAAAATAACCAATTATGACAGAGAGTCTATCGAGATACAAAAAGTAATATAAGTGTTCAGAAAAAATTTCATTGCTGGTTTTTAAAATAAAAGTAATTCATAATTAAAAAATAGAAAACTGAGCGGCAAAATATCCTCCTAAATAATAAGAAGTTGATGAACGGCCAAAGATATACGACTGCAAGCTGGCTGAGCTGACAGGTAAAATTGACAGCTGTAGCCAGCAGACGGGAGCTGGCAAGCGGTGTGACGGGTTGAAGATAACAAAGATAACAAGTAACTCATCTGGCTTGAGCAGGCATGGAAAAAGTGTAGAAGTATCGCTAATTCTCCCGTTTCGTTTCGCATTTAAATGCCTCATGTTTTGCTAGGATAGAGTGGGAACAATAATTATTCTGCCACAGATACTGCAACCGATATTAAATATTGTTTTAATATTATTTAATATTTATTGAAATAAAAATATCCTAAATTCCACTAATGCAATATGCGTGCTGCTCTTACGTTGCATGCTATGAAACGACTTATGCGAGTAAATAGCATTAACTTTAATGCTGCATTTAAAATTCTTGGCAGGCGCAACGGTCCAAAGGCCATCAACGTCAGTTTGTTTGACAAGTGTTGACAGACCGCTTGACAAGGACAGCAAACTGGTGACACTCAATTCGTCCTTGCCAGACGAGATTCGGCGTCTTGACAATTTTACCTTCCAAGGACAACTGGAGATTTGCAAGCAAAACATTGAAGTTCGTCATGCCCTCTGGCAGGAGGGAAAAAAGCGTCGTCTTGTTTTTGAAAAATCGTATTGAAAGTCAACCTTTGAAACACCAATAAACTTTGAAACCGGGACGATAAGAAGTTCAATTTTTCACCATCAATGCATGATTGGCTTAAAATTAATTACCCCAAACTTGAATTGCTCCTCATGTTTGTGGGGGCTCAAGTTTTTTAGGATGCAATTTCCAAATCCGAAGGGCATTTTTGATCGAGACTGTACCCATAATTTTAAAGCGAGGCTGTAAATAGGAATTCTTTAACAACACGAGGCATGAAATTGTTCAGCCTGCTGCTTGAAAAAGTCGAAAACTAAAATCAATTTATGATTACAACACAGACACAAAGAAAAAATGAGAGCAGGGCAAAATCTCACTGCACTGTTTCAACCATAAATAGATAAAATTTCACCTCCGAAGACACAACAATGAAATGAGACTCCAATGGCCAAGGAAATTTATTAAGGCAAATCAAGTGCAAGGTAAATAATTAAGGTAAATTGAGCGTTCACAGATAAAATGCAAGCAAAGCTTGTTGAACGCAACGGCGGGCACAGAGGTTGTGCTAATGCGCTAACATGTCTAGGTAATGTGATGCTACACATATACTGCTGACGTCGCGAAATTATTTATCGGAATGATATCACAGATAGGCAGCCACTCGAGGTTTTAGCTGCTGCGGGAGAGCTGTTCACTGTTGATATGTTCTTTAGTCTTGATCTCTTGAACTCTCTCCTTCTCTCTTCCTTGTGTCTCTTTACGGTAGTGCTCAGTCTCTTTGCGGGAGTGCTCAGTCTCTTTACGGTAGTGCTCAGTCTCTTTACGGTAGTGCTCAGTCTCTTTACGGTAGTGCTCAGTCTCTTTACGGTANGGTATTGTTACGCCGTAGAATGCCATTTCTCTTCAGTGTTGGCAGTGTGGCATGCAAGACAGGAAGTATCGACGTTATTCACGACTAAAACAAGCTAAACTTCAATGAATTTACCGGTATCAAACGTCGTGCGACGATATGCAGGCGTTCCTATGTATTTCATTTTATAAGCTTTGTTAGTAATGACACATTGAGGAGTTGTCCATGTTTCATATTTTTCGAGGTGATTCTATCTTGCCCAAGGTTTACCTAATGGAGGAATATTTTTGGCTGCCATGATACTTATTCGAAATACGATTGTTTTTAGCAAGTTCTGAAACATGCATGCTTCAGAACTTGCTAAAAACAATTATATTCCGAATTATGAAGAATAATATGATGGCCAATAATATTCCTCAATTATTTAAACCTTTATTCCATCCTGTTAAAATATATTATGAATATGTATCATCTTCTATTAATCTACCATAGTATGAAGAATCTGAAACATCAATTGCCGCGGTCACTCTGAGTGATGTGCTAAGTTAGAATGACACATTGAGGGGTTGTCCACATTTCATATTTTTGGAGGTGATTGTATCTTGCTCATGTTTCAGAAATTGCTAAAAAACAATCGTATTTCGGATAAGTATCATGGCGGCCAAAAATATTCCTCAATTGGGTAAACCTTTTTTCCATCCTTTTAAAATATATTATGAATGCGTGTCATCTTCTATTAATCTACCTTAGTATGAAGAATCTGAAACATCAATTACCGCGGTCACTCTGAGTGATGTGCTAAATGATGCAAATCATGATGGCTAAACTACACGAGATAAGATAACAGATATTTTCCCAGGAGTGACCACAGAGCTTTTAGACACGATAAATATTGCCTCTTCAACATGACACGAGATTTTCTCTTAGATGAAATAAACAGCTAGCAGACAATAGAACTTTTTAACGCCAGAACAGAACTTTCGAAGCTCTCAGGTCTGTCGAAAAAGGCGTTAGTTAAT